CCCCAAAACCCCAAAACCCCAAAACCCCAAAACCCCGAAGGGATAGGGGGAAATTGATATATAATTTTTAAATTGGGTGCCATGGAGAGAGGGAGAATGAAATTAGAAGTAAGAAAAGGGAAAAAGAAAGGTAAGGAGTGCAGATAGGGGGTTTTAAGAAGTTTGGATTGAAATTTTGTCTAGAGCAGTTGATGGATAAGATTAGTAAAGTAAAAATGATACTTAGTTATCAATGAGAAGCACTTCGGTCAGCTGAAAGGAAGTAAATTGTAGATAAATTTATAGTAGGGTGGTCTTTAAGAATCGCAAATCTAAAGCTATAAGACTGAAAAATAAAAATAAAACAATAGAAAAATAACTTTGAAGCTGACATTGAGAGAATGTCTGCTTTCATTAAAAGAGCAACCTCAGCTGATCCAAGAATCAGGAAGGAAGCAATAGAGACAGACATTAACAATACAAGTATTTACTTTAATTTCAGCTCATAGTAATGTTTCTTGATACTGATGACATCTCATCCAACATTTGTCTAAGAGGTAAGCATTTAAATTTTATATTTTAGAAAAATTACAAAGAACGACCTCTTGTGACAAATCAAAGATTGCTAAATAAATATACTGAAAAACCCTTATTTCCCCAAAGGAAATCTATCTGAAAGTATCTTCCTTATTAATTCTATAGAGGAAGAGGGAGGAATGATACTATTGCCCTTGTGAAGACAGGGAAATCCTTCTTTTCATAAAAAGAGATCCCTTTCCTAGACTCAAAGTTATCTAAATCCTCTCTATCAAGAACCAGAAATGAGCCATTCAAAGCTAAAAAGAGTCATCAGAGGAAGAACAAGACGCTGTACATAAAGAATGGGGCTAAGAAAATGGCCCAAAACAGTATTCTTCCACAAATAAAACTTTAGAGTTCAAGAATTCCATGCTAAGTTTTGAGAATGAGTCAACACTAAAAAGAGGGGAGCTTCTTCTGGAAGAGAAACAGTAAGTCTGCTCATAAGATGTCGTGACTCCCAGAGATAGGATTTGCACCCAATTCAGACTATTTATGCTTGGATTTGACACCCTAGGAATTCTGTTTAGATAAATTATAGGCTTGCAACTGGAGCAATCAATAGAAGAAGTATATTTATGAAGAAATAGGAAGGAAAGCACTGAAACTGAAAGTCTACAAGAGACGTACTTGGATAGTGACTCTGCTTGCCAAGAATTGGACAATGACTCTGAGAGAAGAAATATTTATATAAACGAATGTATGGACAAGATTAGTGCCATCATAAACACCATTTTTGAGCTGTATGAGGCTTACGCTACATTAAACAAGATGTAAGATATAGTTTGAAGTAATATTTAGGAAAAGTCATGATGTTGGTGCCACCCAGAAATAAACTTAAAGCATCTGTAAGTGTCTATGAATCAGTGATAAATATCATCAAGATTAAATGATTTTTGAACTAAATATATATTATACTGCTAATACTACATCTGTACGTGTGTGAAATATATCCTCTATTGTTCTTTTCAATGCTGTTGATCATATCCAAAAATGTTGATCCAATAAGTCTCTCCTCTCAATTTTACTCCTTTTAAAACATGACCATTTCAAAAACAAAGGCTACCTTACTTTAAATGCTGAGATAGCATCAATACAAATACTTTCTTTCAAATTGCTTTTGGATTAGTTCCAAGAAGGTCTAACAACTTTACCAACAAAAATTACAACTTTTGTTTCCTCCAAATTTGATGTTTAAAGTCTCAAAAATATTATTTGATCTATAAACAACAAAATTAGGCAGAGCTCTTCCTAAGGTATATGTAGAGTCTGCCTTAATTAAAAGCCAACTCTGTATTAACATTCTTTCCTGAAATATTCGCTTAATGCCTGCTTAGAGAAGGAGCTTTTATAAAGTACAATACTAGTTAGATAATTACTTTATTAGTTTTAGAAATGTAGCAGTCGAAATAAAAGAAACTTTGAGGAAAATATGATCGGCAGCGATACTCTGACTCTAAGTTTATAGTGTCTCAAGGCCTATATAAATCCTTGTTCTTGAGACATATCAAATTAATGTAATAATGAAACTATTCAGAAAGTTTAAATAAGCAAAACAACCACACTCTCTTATTACAGAGATTTCAATAAAGCTACTTTTTGATATTCTAGACCTAAAACTTTTAATATTACGAGAAAGATGTGGAAATTACTTAATCTCGAAACATATGAACAGCAACTTCTCGTTATTGGTGTACACAAGCCACAAGACTTTCCAGAATCATTAGGGAGCTAGCTTTTCTGACCTAGAACACTTCAGACTTATAAATTTACATTTTATAGGACCTTGTTGAGAAACTCAGAAAACAAAAAGAAGTAAGTTATTTCATGAAACAATAGATTCTCCGAGAAATTTCAGGACAAGTTAAGAACTTCAAGAGTATCCCAAAATTGAACGACTACCTCTTCGAGATTCAAAAGTTAGCCAAAGAGACGTGAGAGTTTGATCTAGTGTTTGAAGGTAAATTTCCACACTATGCATAGCTACCTGAGCCAGAGCAGATTATTACATGCAATGTAAAGAAATCTCAAAAGCTTTGAAGATTTTTGAGGCTCTTTCTCGATGCTGTCGTAAACTAGACAAGCAAAAACAATTTATACACTGCCTCTTCATGATAGGAATATGCTATAGAAGGCAGGAGAAGCACAAAGAGGCTTGAAACATCTTTAAAAGAATACTACAGAAAGCATGGGAGTCATATGACCAAGAACTTGAACTCAAAGTTTATGAAAATCTTAGTTACGAGCATTATTATCTAGAGAACATTGAGAAGGCAAAGTACTACTTCATGAGATATCACAGAGGCTGGGTCGAGACTGAAGATAGTACTTTAAGAAAACAGTATATACAAATATGTAAGCCACAGATATTATGGTTTTGAGCTTATTTCGTATTTAGATATGCATAAACAACATGAGCTTCAGAAGAACAAGAGGTTAAACCCTGATGAGGTCATTCAGAAGGAGGAAAATATTTTCTTACCTTCTCCTAGTGATAGTAGATCCTGATTTAAGTACAAAGATCGAAATGTATCAGACATGAAGCTCTATAATACAGTCAGTATGGATAAGCCAGATGAATTCGATGCTAGTTTTTCAGATTTGAGAGGAAGACCTTCAACTTGCTCATATTCAAGAGGAAGGAGAAAGCCTTTAGCTTGAAAAATAAAGCTAACAGAGCTTCAAATGAAGGATAAAATATCAAAATGGATGCGATGTCACATCAGAAAACCCCACAAACCCCGCACTTTCAAAGAAATAGTAGAATTCGTCATTAGAAAACAAGGATAATACCCAAAATTCCTCTAAAAAACTAAAAATTTCAATATCTTTTCACCCCAAAGGGGTTTTGGGGTTTTGGGGTTTTGGGGTTTTGGGG